CCTTCCCTCACCTTTCCGGCGGGGGAAACCGAGAGAGGCGACAAAGAGAGGACGCAGACCAGAAGCCGTGTGTTTTCCCCCCCCGCCACACATCCCCCGCCGCTCCATCCCTCCTTCTCCTCCCCTTTAAGCGTTAGGGGGGTCGTTTGCATCCGCGGTGGGATGGAGATTTCTGGACAGGGGGGAGACTTTCGGGCTGGTGAGACAAAGGCACAGGCGGAGATAGCGAAGGTGGTCGCAGAGGCCCCCCCACACACCCCCTTCCCTGTGCGGGGTGTGCTCCTGCCGCCCGCCAGAAATGTGGGGCCGGGATGGGAGGGAAGAGGAGTTCATCCCGGGCATCCCCTGCCCGGGAGGGAAAAAAAACCCTGGAGGAAGGAGGGTTGGTTTACACGGGAGACCCTCAGGGCGTTTAAGAATGGATAGAAGGGCTGGAGAAAGTGAGGACCTGATCAAGCTAGAAAAACAGACCTCTACAACCCCTAGGTATTTTCATCCGACTTAACTCTCCCCTTCTTCCTCCAGAGCTAAGGTTTCTGCAGTGAACCAAAAAACGTCCAGAAACAGGATCTCCTTTTCTCCTCTCAGAGACACCACACAGACTTCCTCCATGAGTTATGTCAGAGGCCTGAAACATTGTCTAATTTACTGTGAATGTCAGATATTTTTCTTTGTAAATATTTTAGGCAGAGTAGAAACAGTAAACCTTTGCTCGGGCTGCCAAATGTCTCCCATGACAAATCATTGTTTTCAGATGTTCAGATTTGTGTGAGAAAACCCAACAAAGGCAAAATGTTTAGGCTTTGTCTCAATCCTAAAGCAGTATCAGTGGAGAAAACGAAAAATCCTGCTAGCTACATCATAGTCCTGAGATGATGAAAAACACTATTTTCATTACACACTTTTTAAGCACAGGTTTTATGTTACTGACTCAACAATGATTATCATTTTAAATGTGAAACACAGACCCTAAATGGTTCTTTACAAGAAGCCATTGTTTTGAAATATCTGAAATTAATTAGACCGTGGCTACAGCCAATGTGCAAATATCAAACTGAACATCTGTGGAAAAAAAAAGCTTCCCGTCTCTTGAAAGAATATTGTGAATCTGAAATACAGTCTATCAAGGAAAAACTAATTTGTCTGGCATAGGTTCTCTCAAGCCATCTTTTGCAACTTTACAACCATTTTTTTTTTTTTTTTTTTTTTTTTTTTTTTTTTCCTCCTGAGCTGCTGTGTGTGAAAAGCGTTACATAAAAGTCAAGGAAATAATTCATGTAATTTAGATGCCAGCAGATCTAAGGTCAGTTCAGGCAAATCAAAGATCCTTGCAAAGTTATTCCACTTGGCCACTAGCTCTGAAGGTCTAACTTCCCATTCCCATCAACTTGCAAAGGGCTGTTCCATGCCAGCTGTGCTGAAAGTGAGTCCATCAGTCCAGTTTTCCTCTTAAAAGTACAGAAACGTAAGCTGCTTCCCAAATCTGCTGTGATTCAGTTATCTAAACCCCAATGTGTTTTCAGAAACCACAAAATCTTTTGAAACAATAGACTTTTGCAAGTTCTCAGATTCTGTGTTTAAGAAAAGCTTTTCCTAGTCCTTCTCTTTCCTATGCTTTAAGTCAAATATGTTTTTAGAGACAAATTAAAATTCTTCAAAGGACTCAACCTTAGCAGCAGCGGTAACTGTAGTGTACACAACCACTTTCTCAAATGAAACTCTTGATGGCTTATGTCAATGTTTCTTTTGTGGCAAAACCCTTCTCCGCCTATTTTTACTCCATATTTCTGCAGTGGAGAAGAGAGCACTCAGCTATGAAAAACTAGGAGCAGTGTTTTGTTTGGTAACAGAACAAACCACAATTGATAGTTAGATATTATTTCTACATTAAATGTAATGATGAAGACATGACATTCTCTTCACTAAGAGAGTCAGTTGGGAGGACAGAGATTATCAGAAGTTCCAGGACATAGAGGCCTTCAGCAGGACTGTGCAATGGCAGAGACAACAGAATCTTTTTCTCTAGTGTTCTGACACTGACTTCTGTTCCACCACAGTGTCTCTACCCTGACTCCAAGGACAAGGGGCCAGGCTGGGATATTTTTACTTATTCTTCCATGGCACCAAAAACTGTGTCAGAAAACTGGTAGCATTTGGTTCTGTCTGTCTTCAAGCCAGGCTCAAAAAACAGTCTGCTTTAGGCAGCCAGATCTGGCTCTTTAAAGAATAGTTGCTTTGTAATTTTGGAGAGGAGTTGTTAGGGTGGACAGGTCTCGGCTGAGGTCCTTCTCAGCGCTGATCCCTATGAGGACCAAGCGCAGGACAAGGCAAGCAAGGAGGAAAGAAACTAAGAAACTTATCAGGGTGGCCTGAGCCATAGTCAAGTGTTGTGATAATCCATACTGTCCTGGGCTTCCTCTGATAAACTGCATCCTGGACATGCATTATTTTTGTTTTGATAACTCTGTGGCTGCATCATAAGCTTTAGTGTAGAAGTAATCCTGAATAATCAAATGTGGTTTTGTTCACATACTGTTACCAAATGAAATGAGCCTTTCATAACTTCTCTTTTTTTTTTTTTACTTTTCTTTTTTTCTTTTTATGATATGAAGGTGCTACCATTGTGCAAAGAATAAACTCGCAGGGTCTGGTTCCACACTGATAGAGCAAGCTCTTGAAACGGATTAAGAGAGATTTTCTTAACTAATCTCTTTTTCCTGGGCCTTCTCATCCTTTGCTAAAGCAATAACAAACATTCGCAATGTGACTAATCCAAAACCCACTGAAATCACTAGAAAGATCCCGCTGACTCCACAAGTGTCAGTCAATAGTTTCTTCTCCTTTGCTGTGTGTGAAGGGGAGAAAAGAAATGAAATAGAGTAGGAAGAACCTAGAAAGAGAAAGAAAGGGAGACTGTGAGTTTTTTCCTTGTCCTCTATCATTCAGGAAAGTCTCTATTTTTCTTCCCTGGGGACTCCTTTTTGCAGATCAGAACAAAAAAGGTTCAAAATTTGCTAGTTGTTAGCAGGCAAGTAAAGATGAAAAGATCTGTGTCTACAAGAAGAGTCATGACCCACCTTGAGAAAAAGAGAGTGTAAGCAGTTTGAAAGAGCTGAGCCAGGCCTATTCCTGGCATCCCACATCTTGCTGGCTCTCAGAAATGGTCAGGATAATATCCGTGACACCTTAATGTAAAATAAAATTTTTAAAAGGGCAAAGGTGTCTGCAAATACATCTTGCACAATTTAAAAGATTCGTGGGGTAGTTGCAAACATTTCCCCCCAGAAAAGCTTAGGACGTGATCCTTTTTTGCTCAGTGGGGAAAGGAAGGATATAAAACCAGAGAAAAGTTATCAGTCCTTGCACTGGTGAATCATCTCTCTTAGGTGCTGAGGAGCAGGCAGGACTGCCCATGGT